AGTGGAGTACAGATTCGAGTTCTCCACCCCAGAAGACCTTCAAGCATCATCTCTTATCGGAAGATAGTGCTCTAATTGTGGATCAGTTAGAGTGTGGACAAGAACAGAACCGATTTCCGTTTATTTATCTTTGCAATAGGTGAGCTAGCCTTCTTGTTTCTTTATGTTTTATATACCATTTTGTAGCTCGTAAAATCCTCTATCGAATGGTATATAATAGCTGGGGTTTTGTTTAAATATGATAGGAAAAGTTTTTTACGAAAGCGGGGATGGGTCGATTTTCGCATAGGAAGAAATGAGTATTTTTGCAATAACTCAGGAATGGTTCAGCCAATTCTTCTCATCTTCGAACTCGACCGAGACATTGTTAAGACTGAACTGTGTAGAAAATTTCATCGCAATTGGACTCTCTTTTCAAAGGTTATCGTGTTAACGGACGGACGGACGGACACACTTACCGATTCTAGAGTGTACTCACTTTTTAAGTACACAAAAATAGTATTTTATTTTTCCAACACCTACGCATGAGCAACGATGTTAAGTTGGAAATACTAAGGAAAAATATTTAATGAAGCAAAATACAACTCACACTACGAATCAAACATTCTAAAGAATCTGAACTTAATTTTACTACCCTGATGGTCTCCTATGAGTTTATTTTGTATTTAATCATATCTGACTTTTTACGCCTCGTATTTTCCTCGAGTGTCGACAAATGCTTTATCGTCGTTCTGTTAGAAGCACCATCTTCATTATGTCTTGCTTATATATCTACCATATTTTGTTTGTTTCTTTTGAGGAACATCTTTGTCGAAAGAGCTTAGTGCAACTTTTTCAAAAAGTGGAATCTGAATATTGACAAACTAGTTTTTTTTGAAAAATATTTTTTTTAAACTAACCTCCTTCAATTGTAAGCCGCTTTTCAGTACAAAAATAGCACTGTCATATCTGTGTCACAACGTCTGTACATGAGTGAGCAGTATGTTGTCTTTGTATGAGTATAAAATTGAACTTTGAATATGTTGATAATAACATTAGGAAAGTCTAACAATATCATTTATTTAGATCAAAATTATATTTGATGTAGGCAAGAACAAGTAGTAAAACGACGATCAGAAAGTGCACGTTCCCTATTTGTATATTACTCATGACACACTTCATTGCATCATATTCGAGGAGATGAAAAATAGTAAAAGGTAGTCATGATTTAGGTTACTTTTGCTTTACCTTCGAAATAGTAAAAGAAAAATAAATAGTCGAGCAAAAAACATGACAATTTTAAATCTGTACTTAGGACATACCAAAAGTAGTGATGCTGACATTATAAAATATATTAAAGAAGACTCAAGAAAATTTTCTTTCTACATCTACTGAGAGTTCATATCATGTTCTATAATTCTACAAAATTTAATCATTCTTCAGGCTATATTATAATAGTAAAGTTTCAATGTATTAAAGTTCGCAGCTAATTTTTCAAAACGTTTTTTTCTTGAGAATAAAGGATTTCCTAGTCATAAATAGGTTTATTTATGAGTTGAATCTCAGGTTGAAATATAGTTACTTGAGTCATTTATGTGTATTGTGTTATAGCCTCCAATTTCAGTAAAATGGTTGTAGCTTAGAAGGAAAGGCCTAAAGGGGCACTTCTCCTTTAACTATTTTTTTATATTTCACTAGGGTCTACGTTATGCATAGAGATTGGAGTCGAAAACGATTTATTATTTGAAACGATTCTCTCGATAGGCGTATGTCTTTTTCTGTCGCATCTGATAGTTAGCCATCTTCATACGTGTAAAGACAGATCTTGCTTATTTTTTGCATACGTATAGTTAATTGTCTTATATTCTCAAGAAAAAATATTTAAAAAAAATTAACAGTGAACTTTAACATATCGAAACTTCACTATTATTATATCGCTTAAAGAATTATTAAAGATTTTATAGTGTCGCTGTCACTACTTTTGGTCTACCCTAAGTATACTTAACATAGATTTTGATCATTGGATAGAAATTAACGCAATAGATTTGAAAAATTCTTGCACAATTTTCTGTCTTTTAGAGAAAATATATGACGAATTTAGCTGTAGAGAATAAAATCACTTTGATGACTTATTATATAGTGACATCTGGCTAAAGATACTGTATTGAACTAAATCTCTTTTACTATATAATTATATTTGTTCAACTAAACTGATTGTTCTCATGTAACATAACACTCTATTGAAAAAATAAGTTAAAGATCATTATTCACATGCGTATGAACGGTAAAATGTAATTCACGAATCTGAATATCTCTAATAATGAGTCATATTTATTAAGGAAGAACATCAAGTTGCAACGAAAATAAAAATGAAAGCAGTTTTTTCGTTGAAAAATTGGTGTTTGATTAAAATGAATGAATATTGGTTAGTCGCTGTTTTTCTTGTCAAAATTTTTTTTAATTCATTGAGAATTAATACTTCTCAGTCCAATTATCGGCTAAAATGTTTTATATTTTAATGCTGTATCGATTGTTATTCAATTATTCGAATAGTTCTCGTCATCAATCTCAAACTAATTTGTCTACGTGCATTGTGTTGTAACAGAGATATTTTCTGGTTCTTATATACACCTGTAAACGACCGTGCTTGTTTTACCTGGGAAATAGTTGGTTGCTGCCGTATATGATTTAGCTAACGTTTGCATTGACATAGAAAGTTCGTCAGAAATACATAATTTCATCCAATGTAGAGATATATAATACACTTGACGCTTATACAATTATTGAGATTGTTTGAAAATGATATCGTCGGAATTCTGAAAAACATGTTTTTTTTAGCGGAAAAATGCAGTTTTATTATGAACAATTGCAAAAGAGCTTATTTTGCAACATTCAATTGTTATTTTGTTGCAGATATGACCACTTGTTTTGAACATCTTTGCAATGAACTATTGCTCGAAATCTTCAATTATATAAATCCTCGACATTTATATTATACTTTTTGGAATATTAATTCGCGTTTAAACAATCTTATCATTTCAGTCAACTCGCTTCAACTTATTATTAACGAAGAAGAAAACAATGAATTAATTACTAAACTAGCTCCTCATATTGGTCTTTTACAAGTTAACACATGGGATGAAATTGATTTGAATGGATTTTGTAATTTATATTCATTAACATTGGCTCGACCGTCTCCAATACAATTAAAACAAATTCGAGCTGAGATCATGCCAAATTTAATCTATCTTTCGTTATATTCAAATGTAAATTTCTTTCCACCTAAACAACTTATTGATGATGCATTTTCAAATCGTTTTTCTCAGCTTCGTTGTGCTAGATTAGGTTATATTGATTCTTTCGATCTTGCTCATTGGTTTCAATCATTGTCTCTTCGCTATCTTCATATTGGTTGTTATAATACAACTATGATCCCATTTGTTCTAGCGGCATGCCCAAATCTTAAACAACTTCATGTCGATTTTTTGCGTCATAGTGACAAAATCATGGATTCATCAGTAATGATTAATAACCATCCTCTTCAACAATTAATCTTACAAGATTATTGTTGTTTGGTGTCGGTTCAAGATATCAGAACTCTCATTAGTTATATTCCAAATACAAGCAAGATCAACATGAACTTCTATTGTAATGTTTCATTTATTTCTCTAGTTCAATTTCTTTCAAATAGTCTTAGTCATTTACGACGATTTGATTGTTTTATAACAGAGTGTCCAATCGATTCGGCGACGAGTTTGGCAACTATTCAACAAGTTCATCCATGTTTAAATCGCATTACATGTCCAATACAAAAAGCAAATTTTCGTGTATTCAGCACAAAGTGATAAGCTGAATACTCTTGTTTTTTTAAAATAATCATGAAATTATCATAATGATATATCCTATTTATTGTTAATCGAGAAAAGATTCTCTTTTCGTTATTTGATAAGATTTATTTATTCTTGAAATCAAGTGCTTTTTGGTTCAGTATACTACTTGTTTTTTTTTACTGAAAATTTATTTTTCTTTTCTAGATGTGTTTAATATGAACAAAAATCTTAGATAAAAGCGAAACCTATGTAACATTGATTTTAAAATTCGATGAAAAACGACGATATGTACGTGTTCAATAAATTATTTTCAATTGTCTACTCAATAATATTCTTTTTTATTTTTAATGGGTTTCTTTCCATATTTCTCACCAATAATGAAATCGAAAATATCTTGATCATTAGATCTTAGTCCTCAATCAATGAACGAGCAGAACCACAGCGATATTCAGAATACTATGATTAATTGGAGAAGCAAGACAGTTGTGAAATTAGATCTAAATGAAGAGCTGGTGTATAATATAGGGTAGAAATTTGGATCTTCTCCTTCTTACAATGTGCATTTTTTTGCACGGAAACAGATTTCTTCGCCCAGAAATGATTGGACATGGCCAAAAACGTTTTCCAACGACAAATGCCTGAGAGGATTGTTGTTCTCATTTTATTCAAGAAAATTTTCTTCTTCAACGACACAGTTTCATACGATAATTCCGAATAGACTATTTTAGCGGATAAAATATTTTTCGAACATCAGAAAAAACTGAAAAATCTATGTTTTTTGAAAATCTACTGGACAGCCTAGGAATGTTTGCATTAACAGGAACTAGACACAGTGAATAGGAGAATTTTGGAGATCGAATATGAGTACATTGTTCGTTTTACGCTATTGACCGTTCGCATGGCAATATAGAAAAAGATAGATTTTTTTCTCAAAAGTAGATTAAAACAATGTTTTTAACCATTGTATAGAGCACGGCTTGAAGATTCAGAAAATGTACTTGATTTATCTGTCAAACAGTTAAATTTTATTAGATATGAAGTTTCTCAATGACATCCTGATTTTTACGCTACTATTTGTGCAATTGGTCTTTCAACTTTTTTAGGATCATGGAGAAGTTATTTATGGTATTATATAGATAAAATATATTTAAGACTGTATATCAATAAACAATCTCTTGTGATTAAAAATAGCAGCTATATCGTGTTTTATACTTTAATTCCATAAAGAATTGCGTTATAAGGTGTTGATGCAAGTAACTATTGTTTGAGTTTTTATTTGTAAAAAATATCCTTCACAATACTTGATAGTTCTACATTCATCAGAGACTTTAATCGTACTCAAATATATATTTTATTTTAATAACAACAATGAAAACTATCGTCAACACAATTATAGGTGTACTCTATTAGAAAAAAAATTAAACATAGCTCTTTTATTTTACAAATACAAATCAGTTATTTTGTTGGTCAATGGTGTAACTGAGTATATTCCTTTTTGATAAAAACATTCTATTAAAAGAGAAGAGAACGTGATACTATTTTTATTTTATCAATATGCACTAAGTATTTTAGATATTTCTGAGCAAGAGAAAAAATAAAACATACTTTGATAAAAACATCAAGCTACATGTGATTTATTACAGTGCAAAGTACTTACTAGATATCATTCCTTTCTGTACGGTAAGAAAATCCGTACTTTGTTTCGCGATGTTCTAGAGAGCGACGAGTCTAGAGAAATTCACTCGAATTATGTTAGAGAGATTCATGTCTAGAAATGATACAAAGATTTTTCAATCGTCGGCCAGTTTCGTAAAACGGTAATTTTGACGATTTGGTCTTCATCATCGTTGTTGCTTACTTATATTAATAGAAACTTCATCGAAGAAAATTGAGATCGCTTCGCGCCTCGTTTACTTAAACAGACATACGCATCGAAAGTTAGCACTTTCTGCGACGATGATCTCGAGAACGAAGATTCAGAAACTATGCAAATAGATGTTTCCTTACTGGTTTATTCCATTGTCAAAAAAGATAATAGATTCCTAGGGAATCTTTTCTGTACGAAACTCTTATATCTGAAGTCAAAACCGAATATATCTCTTAAGCTCTTTACCTTTGTTACACTCTAAATAGTAAGATTAAAAAAGGCTTATAGTAGTCCCAGCAACAGAATAGATACATATCTTACTAAACAAGAATGTATCAAACCAAACTTAATATGCAAAGGTATATAATTAGGTAACATAATTTGTTTTGATTTCAAATATAAGAGATTTACTACAAAACCAAACTGTTAAAACAACTTTTACCTTCTTCAATGCGTGAATAAGGCAGTATAAGAACATCTATCATTGGTGGGTGTAAAAATTGGAGACAAATAAAGCAATTTTTCAACATGAAGTTTCGATTCAAATAAAATATCTGATGCAATTTGTACTCCTCTTGTTAATGATATATTGAATAGTAACTTTAAATAAATATTATAGGAATGACGCAGATCACAACTTGTTTAATTGAGTCATATGTTATAACAAAAATTTCAATGTAGAATAGGTACGCAATGGTTTGCAAAATGAGTAGTTGGATACTTTTGAAAGAATGAAAAAGCGTGTGCTGTGATTCGATCACCACTAAAAACTATAGACTGTAAACTGACGAAAATCAGGTGATTCTAGGATAAAATTGCCTACTAATTAAATAATTTTGATACCTACTGTGCATACCAATAGTACTAACATGACTCTATAATTGTAATTACTTCATCATTCTTCATGTACTGTTGTAATATAAGAATTTCGATCAAAGTTGAACTACTATATAGTCAAGCGACAATTATTCATAACAAACTATATTTTGTTCTCGGAGGTCGGACTCCACTTTTAAGGACAGTTGAAAGATGACATGAATAGTCTCGTAAAGATCGAAAAGACGTTGAAGACAAACAACGATCTACTAGATGTGTTGGCAAAGGGGTCTCTTGAATTTTCTCGGATCGAGGTGGAGGCTGGCAGCCGAAAATAAAATAGTGTGGTGCCGCCTTAAATTCAGAAGCGAAAGTTTTTCTTATGCAACAGAATCGGATTTGAACTGTTATGATCGAAATTTTAACATCATAGCAAATGAAAAATGGCGAAATATTTTAGAATTAAAGGGCATCATTTGTACTATCAGTATATATATCTATAGAAACCTTCTCGAGTCTTCTGTAATGTAGTATAGTACCGTTGCCACAACTTTTAGTATAGTGTGAGTATATGATCTGATTCATTCACATCTGAAAAACAAATTATATCAATACCATGTCGTGTACCTTGCTGTTCTCATCAATTAACAACCAGTAAATCTTCTCCATTCAAACAACATATATCTTGAAGTATTTCTTCAAATGGAATATACAGTTCTAACTCGATTAAAATATCATGCTTCACATACACTACTAAGTCCTAACTCATCATTATCTATTTATCAACAACAACATTGAATTGTATCAACTCTACTATCCATAACAGAAAAAAGACGTATTTTCTCAATTATCTATTTCATCTCGTTATTCTTAAAATTCATTCTAAGTCCACCAAATAAATTCAATGAAGCAGCAGTAACAAATATTTATTTAAGAAGTATTAATTTAGCACAATATATTGCTGAACTAGACCATTATAATATGGATAAAATACCTAAACTTGTCGGACGACATACGAAAACAATTGATACAATGGAACAATTATTTCCAACATGGTTTAACCCGTTCAGGCCCACCCTACTAAATATAGTATGGTTTTTCCAAGTTTCTTAATCTTTGAATAACTCGCGAACGCGAGATGATATCGAAGTGCGGTTTTCTTTGTGACATAAAAGAGACTTCGATGTATACATCTACGCAAGAGTTATCGCCCTAATGAGATTACTCTGGTAGTAAGCCTGGTGGATCTTTGGAACACTACTTTTACTCCAAAAAAAAAGGAGGGCGGATAATGCCCTTCTGCGGTTCGTGAAATACTTCGATTTTTCGTGCTGAAATCAAGTTAGGAGGGGCTTCTAGTGGTATTCCAAAGATTGATTTCGCGACAGCTCTCAATCGAATTTCGACTCAAGCCCGTACACCACCACAGGAATGTCCAAAATACTTCTTCGCCATCCTTGTGGGGAAGTACGGGTATGGACCAAAAATAACTTTAAAGATTTTTTAAAGAGTTTTGATGAAAATATCAACAATGCATAATGCCCATATAAAATATAAAGCCTCAAAGAAATTTCGTTTATTGGTTTAGCTATGGACCGGAAAGGGTTAATAAACCTGATTATCGTTTCATAAGTTGTTTTAATCATGATCCAACATCTACATCATAAGAATTTATGAGACATGTTAACGATGAACAAATGACATATATACAATTATTAATATCGGAATATTTTTATTTTTTAGATGGAATGATTTTTGTATAAATTTAACCAATTATGTAAAATATGTTAAACAGAATTGATATATTTCGCTACCCAATAGGTTAGAATAAGATAAAGGTTATTATTAGATGTGATGCATTCTTCAATAATAACTGCACTTATTTTATGAGTGTTTGTCTAAAAAATCGAATTTCTTCTTACAATAGATGATTTTATTCTGCAGTGGAACTTACAATGCGTATTTCGAAGAAAAATATAGACAGTACAGGTTTAAAGTTAATGAGTGATACTTCATTTTATATTACCAAATGTTGTGTTGTTCTTAAAGCTAATTGGTTTCTAGTAAACAAAAAAATTTCATCAAATCAATATAATGTGCATATAAAAAAATTAATTTTAACTTCAAATAATTATTGTTGTGTTTGTTCACTAAAAAGCGTAAATACTTCGATCAATCAATGTCAAAGATTTTTACCAAAAGAAAACCTCTTTTTTAGTTTTTTTATTAACAAAATGATGTGATATTGAAACCAGAGAGATTAAAGAGTCAATCAATAAATATAATATGATGACTAGTTATAGCATTATTACAAGATAAAACTCATGTTATGTCAGTTTGTATATTGAAGTATGCGATTCTGAAGATTATTGATGAAATAAATTTGAAAAAACAGATGCATAACGAAAAGCAGCATATAGAAGAATAGTTTCTACAATAAAATTTATCTTCTCAATTCAATACTCAAATGTACTTGTGGAACTACTAGATACGCAAGAGGCATTAACAATAGCATAGAATATTTTAGTAGTTAATTAACATGGAGGTTCATCAACTGAAAAAAATATGAATACCAGTTAGTGAGTAACTCGTCGTTTATGTGAACAATTCAACAACATGCTTACTTACAGGATGATACCATCTATTGAAACAGGTAATGGTGCACCTATTCGGAATTATATGGTGGAAAAACAACAAGTTGGATTTTTTCAAAGATGACAAAATATTAATGATTCATTACGAACATATACATGCAATATGAGCGACTTAATATCAGATATACAATACATCAAAAATCAACGATTTAGAATATGTTGATATTTAAATAGTGAATTCCATTCGATACTTTTAAGTAAAATCAATTATGGATGTTGTTCAGCTCGTCAATGCCATAAATTGTTTTGTTTTTGTAACAGAAGTCGAACTAATATATGTATTACAGTACGAGCACGAAAAATCTTATTAATCAAGTTAATATTAGTCTTATAACATCTGGAAATTAATACACTATAACAAAACAACTATTGGATAAAATAAAAAGTGGATTACTAATAGAGTTCTATTTATAACTTCCATTATCAAGTGATTTTATAAGTTGAAAATGTTCAAAAATAAATATTGATCTTGTTATATGAGCAAATGTTAAATGTGTTCTA